CCATCCATCCGTCCGTCCATCCAATCAATCATCTGTCTTCCATCTATCCATCCAATCAATCATCCATCCAACCATTTGTCCATCCATCCAATTAATCATCCATCCATCCATCCATCCATCCAATCAATCATCTATCCATCCATCCATCCATCCAATTAGTCATCCATCCCAATCAATTATCTATCCATCCATCCATCCCATTAATCATCCATCCAATCAATCATCCATCCCAATTTATCAATCAATCAATCAATCAATCAATCAATCATCCATCCATCCAATCCAATCATGTATCCAAGTAATCATCCGATCCATCCATCCATCCAATCCAATCCAATTAATCATCCGAACCAATCAATCATTTATCCAATTAGTTATCCATTCAATCACATCTATTGTCCATCCAATCCATCATTTTTCCAGTCAATCATCCATCGTGTATAATGAATATGACTGTATTTTTGAATGTGATGCTAATTAAAAATAATAATAATAATGCAAACCCTATGTCACTCCGCTTCACCACCTCACGTGTGCTTTATTTTCTAATAATTCAACAGCCTGTTTTCAATGATTCCTCTCTTCTTTAAATACAAGCGCTCTCTCGTTTTCTCTCGTTCAGATCAGTTTCTTTGTTCATCCTCAGCTCAGTCACTCCGTCCAGCTTTGCTAGTATTTTTTTCTGAAGGTCGAGTGTGTGTGTGTGTGTGTGTGTGTGTGTGTGTGTGTGTGTGTGTGTTTTGTCCGTCTCTGTGAATGCTGCAGCTCTCGTGACCCCGTTCTCTTGTTCTTTCTATCTCTTGTACTCTCTTTCCCTCGTTCTCTCTCTTTCTCTGGCGCCGCAGGATCTGTAAAATACATTCACATTTCACCTCTTTGCTCTGGGACCAGATCTGGGGCTTCAACAGCACATAAATTACAGTTCTTCTCAGCTCTCCAGCGAGTGCTAATTAGCTCAGACTTAATCAAGCGTGAGGCAAACCACCCGTCTGACGCTTTATACCTGTTAGTTTCTGTTGAACGAGCTGAAAAAGAAAGGTGGAAAACTAAAAACAGAAATTCTGAATATTACCACAACGAGAAGTTAATAAAATGTAGAACAAAGAAAAACTGAATATAGATAATAAAGAATATAATTCAATTCAATTAAATTCAGCTTTATATAGCGCTTTTACAATGTAGATTGTGTCAAAGCAGCTTCACATAAATGGTCATAGTAACTGGAACAGTGTAGTTCAGTTTTTAGTGTTTAGGTTTTAATATAAATATTAATAAGTGTATAGATTGGTGTGTGTGATCAGAATATAGATATTAGGGATGCAACAATACAGTTAACTCTTGGTTCAATACATAGCCCGGTTTTTTAACACGGTTTTCGGTTCGGTTCAGTTTTCATGGCTTGACACGTGTGTTTTTTGTTATTCTATAGGCAATAGGAACAGTAAGAAGTTAAGGAGATAAAAATAAAAAGGATTTATTGCAATACTCATTTTGTTTTACTTAAAAGTCAAGAAAAGTGCAGTAGTTCCTAGAGTATTGTATAATAAATGAGCACTGAAATCTCACAGCTGCTGTAGCCCATGTACAAACTGGAGAACACATGAAATCCTGCACTTTGAGAATAAACACACATGTGGAGTTAATAAAGATGATTTGGCCATTACAAATAAACATATTTGTCCTTCAGTAAACATAAATAAACATCTTCATTATCTCGGTGCTGAAAACATGCGAGACTGCAGTCTGTAACGCGGATCGAGTGCTTTTATAAGATGACAGAAGCCCACATCTCCAATCACCCAAAACGGCTGCAAATCTTCAGCAGTAATCACCCGCACTGCCTCTGTTATTTTATGTGTCTCTCGGAGCCAGTTGGGTTTGTTTGCTTGAAGGATTCAGTGAGGGATTGTTGCTGTTTGGAGGACGTTATTCGCTTCTCTGCTCTCCTGCTTCAGACAGTGATATTGCTGGGTGATGCGCTGCAGATGTGCAGTCATGGTCATACCTGTAAATCAATGCTGCACACGGTTATTTTTTGTTCAATGTTTTTTCTTTTATTGGCTTTATACTTACTGGCAAAACCAAAATGTCCTCACACCGCAGATTTGAAAGACGCCGACGCTTTCTCGTACTGTTGTCTCACTTCGCCGGCTTTTCCTTGTACTGTCGCCTCAGCCTCTCTTCACCGCTGCTCGCCATGATAAAGTGTGGAATGATGATGGTCAAGCGCCCCCTAACTTTAGACCACAGTGATTGGATATTTACTCGCGGGGAGGAGTTTCCTCATCTCAGCTCATCTATTTACAGGCACACACAGTCAATTCGGGGAGATATAAAACACACATAATATATTTAAAGCAAAACCGAGAAAACCGCAATTCACAAGCGCATACTGAACCGTGGAAGTCGTACCGTACAGTTCAAAATTATATTGAGAACCGTGGCATCCCTAATAGATATTAATAAAAGTGTAAAGTTTCATTAATCATAAAATAGACGCGTGTAGCATTGTAAAAGTGGGCTTGTGTGATCAAAATATACTCATCTCTATAGTCTAAATATAGGAATATTCTCAAAATAGCCACAGATAATGTTTTCTAGCGCTCTGAAACTGACCATTAGACCTAATTGTTGCGTTTTGGTGACTGTTGCTTTAAATGCAAATGAGATTGTGCTCTTTTCAGGAGTAGGCGGAGCAACAGACACCTGTGCGTCAGCATAGTGGCAGATGTAAAACAGCAGTGTGTGTGTTGTCCGTGCTGGTCAGGTGTGCGTGTGTTCTTCAGTGTGAGTGTGTGCTTCATGCTTGTATCAGTTGCTCCTGTCGCTGTTCATCTAAAACTCCACATCTATAATCCTCTTAGTCTATGCTGACATCATCTTCAGCAGCTCAAACACTCTAATGGCTAATGGACAGACGGCTGCTTCTCACTTAGGGCTGCTGCTTATGCTAATGAGATGGAGAGTGGGCGGGGCTTTCCCCCTCTTATGACACGTACAAAGGGAGAATGCCAATCAAAGTGTTTCATTGATCAAGGCTGATAATAAAAATACAATTAATTAATGTTAATTATTAAAAGCTGGCTATAGTCACACACTCTTACCACACAACTGTGTTTAAACCTCTTATTAAAGTGATTTTCGCATAGTAGATGCCCTTATTTCCAGTGCATAAACATGTCTGTTAGTTTTGACGCATGTCTGAGTCAGAAGCGTCTCTCAGCGGTGTTCGTGTCTGAATCAACACAAGGTCATGCATAAACTGCGGTCGCCGCTTAAACCAGCTCACGTCCTCCAAAACCTGCTGCACCTCCAGACCAACAGGAGGCTTTTCCTCACCATCTGCCCTGCGCAAACAAACACAGCACACACACCCGTGAGGAGAATAGATAGTCTTTGCTGCAGAATTAAAAAAGAACAACTTCATCTCACAATTCTGTCCATTTTATTTAACGATTGTTCACTCATATGACTTAAAATTGAATCTGTTGAACGCTTGATTCTGATTGGCTGATGAGCACTCTATGGTGTTTGGTAATTGTCAGATAAATGCACAGCTAAAGTAGTTCCGGCAGGTTTTGAGCGCATTACAGCTCAATATCACTGCGCTGAATCATTTTCACAGCAACAACAGTCAAACATCACATCAGGACACAACAGGAGGAGGAGATGTGGAGGACACTAGTGCTACACACACAGGGCCGGAGTGGGACTCCTTTTCAGCCCTGGAGTTTCAAGCCTCAGACCGGCCCACCTCAGTTCACGACTGACTATATTAAAATAAGGTCATTTCCAAATCAGTTTCTAATGACACTATCACGTCTTTTTTTGAGAAAACAGCTGCTTTGAACTTCAAATGTTCAACAACCCTAACAGTCTTATATGTCTTAACAATGAAAATAAATAAATAAATAAATTACTCAGACGAGGATCAAACCCAGGTTTACCGCGTCACAAACTAACGAGCTATCCACTGAAACACAACAGCTGATTATAGTTTAGTGGCTCATGTATATCATCATTAACCTGCAGGCTGCGTCTAGATAAAAAGATAGATAAAATAGATAAAAAGAGCAGAGCTGCGGTATAATAATAAATAAAAAATAGATAAAAAGAGCAGAGCTGCGGTGAAATAATGAATAAAAAAGCTGTGGTCAAGTAAATAAATAAATAAATTAAAAAAGTGTGACTGCTGAGAGCAACAGATTCTGGAGCTAGGGACACCGGCCCTCGCGGTCAAAAAACGGACCGGCCCAACAGGAATTCTCCCGGTCCTCCCGATTAGCCAATCCGGGCCTGTACACACAGGAGACGCTTGAGAAAGACACACCTGACTAATCAAACACAACATCTCCACAGTGGATTTATGGAATGAAATCGCTGTCATAAATATTTTGTGTGTAAATAAAACTTACACATCTGTAACTATAAAAACGTAAAGGAAAACGGAGCGTACTTGTAATTTTATGAGGGTACAATTTCAAAATCTGGGATTAGAACAGACACAGATACGACATTTTCTCTGTCTCTTTGTATATGACGGATAAATATACGATAGTTGTACTTTACAAACAGTGGAGTGACGCTGTTTGATTTGCACTCGTAATCAGGTCTTCGTGTCTGCTGTGAAACAGTATTTGGTGTTTGTAAAGTACACCCATCGTAAATTTGGAAAAAGTCGTATCCGTGTCTGTTCTAATCCCAGATTTTGGAATTGTACCCTCGTAAAATTACGAGTATGCTCCATTATCCTTTATGTTTTTATAATTACAGATGCGTGAGTTTTATTTATACAGAATATTTATGACAGCAATTTTATTACATATGGATTTAGCTATGGGAACTGTAATATAATCAGAATAATGCACTCCAGTCCGTTTAATTATTAGAAAATGATGCACTTCTGAGGTGTAACAGCAAAACCACGTCACCATCCAGGTTGTGTATTATTTTCTAATAGTTTTAATGACATGTTTTATATTTCTGTCTTTTTTTTCTAGGACTCATCCCAGACTCCGATCATCCATACAGCAAGTTCGAGAACGAGTGAAAAGCGAGTGTTTCCACATCCAGCAGCAGCACAGGAATCACTTCAGATGCTTCGCTTTGCTCTTTTGAGACACATCAGATCACTTTAGATTAGATGGAGCTGGATGGCAGCCCATTTCCAGATTACCTTGTTAACTCTTCCATTGGTTAGTTATCTCTCTCTCTCTGCTCTGATTTGCACACTTGTTTTCTTTAGTAGCATTACTCTGAAGGTGCAACTAATGAAAATGGCCAAAGAGGCTGTTAGAATGTGAGTTATTATTTTGTGTTTTTGTGTTTCTGATGGACAATTTAAGTAGTAAGCTGCAAAAAAATGCTTTTCTTTGGCTTTTTTCTAGTCCAATTATGAAAAAGTCTGAAATCAAAAAGCATTTTCTAGACAAGCAAAACATATTGTGTAGTTTTCAGAAATAATGAGTCAAAATGAAGCGAGTTTTCACTTAAAACATGCAAAATAATCTGCCAATAGGGAAAGCTGAATAATCTTATGTCAAAACGAAAAACAAGAGTATTTTTCTTCTCCGATCGGCAGATTTTCTTGCTTGTTTTAAGGAAAAATCACTTTATTTTGATTCGTTTTGTCTTAAAACACAATTGTTTTTGCTTGTCTAGAAAATGCTTCTTGATTTGAGACTTTATGGATATTTGGACTAGAAACAAGACCAAAAATCCAAGTAAGATGAGCCTTTTATGCAGTGTAGTTCACCTAAATAAATGGTAAATCTGTCATTTACTCGCTCTCAAAGTACACAAATCTTTAATCAGCCTTTTATTGCACAAGAGCAATTCATAATGATCAATAATTTAATTAATACTACACTCTATTGGGCCAAAATATGGTCAAATCCAACCATTGGGCTTATTTTTAACATTACATTTACATAACATTGGGTCAAATATGGACAAACTTAAATGTTGAGTTAATACAACCCAGCATTTCTTAAATTGCCATAACAGTTGTCCACATGATGTGAGCTCTCTTTTTCTGAAATCACATTATACTTTCCTAGAGAATTTGACCCAACTTTTATTTTCTAATGACCCTCAACTGTCCTGTAACACATTCACACTTACTAAATACACTGTAAATAATGCTGGGTTCTATAAATTCATAATGTTGGATACAACAGAGACAAAGAGAATGCTGTTATTTATTTTATTAAATTTAAACTGCTGGGTTTGTCCATATTTGACCCAGCATTGGGTTAATACAAACTGGTATTTTCTAAGAGTGTAAATTGCTGTATATTTAATTAAAATTGGATTTAAAGGGTCAGTTCACCCAAAAATGAACTTTTGCTCACACTTTTATGAATTTTAATGTTGGGTCAAATATGCACAAATTAAACCATTCGGGTTCATTTTAAAAATTGCATTTAATTACATTTGGGTTTGTCCATATTTGACCCAATGATGAGTTAATACAACCCAGCATTTTTTACATTTCCATAACAGTTGTCCACATGATGTGAACTCTCTCTTTCAGTCTTTTAAAATCACATCACACTTTCTTTTATTTTCTAATAACTCTCAAAACTACACATTAAACTAACTGTATACACTCGAAATAATGCTGGGTTGTATTAAAATACTTTTGGATAAAATAGGGATAAAGAAATGCCGAAATGTTTTTTAATTAAATTTAAAATGTTGGGTTTGTCCATATTTTTCCCAGCATTGGGTTAATACAAACTGGCATTTTTAAGAGTGTAAACTGCAGTATGCTCAATTCATTCAATTAAAATTGGATTTAAAGGGTCAGTTCACCCAAAAATGAACATTTGCTCACTTTTATGAATTTTAATGTTGGGTCAAATATGGACAGACTAAACTGTTGGGGTAAAATTTTTTAAACTGCACTTAATTACATTTGGGTTTGTCCATATTTGACCCAATGTAGAGTTAAGACAACCCAGCATTTTTTACATTTCCATTACAGTTGTCCACATGATGTGAACTCTCTCTTTCAGTCTTTTGAGAGAATTTGACCCAAATTTTATTCTCTGATATCTCTCAAAACTACACATTCAGCCTTACTAAATACACTCTGAATAATGGTAATACAATGGGTTGTATTGACCCAATGGTGGGTGAAACACAGACAAAGTAAATGCTGGGTTATTTTATCAAATTAAATATAAACAGTTATGTTTGTCCATATTTGACCCAACATTGAATTAATAATTTATTGCCAGTGTAAATTGCCATATATTCAATTCGTTTAAGTTAAAAGGGACAGTTCTCCCCGCAATGAACATTTTCTCACACTTTTATGAATTAATTATGGGTCAAATATTGGACTTTTATGAAGTTATGTCCTCTGTTGAACATAAAACAAGATATTTTGAAGAATGCTGGGGAAAAAGCAGCTATTGAAATCCATAGTTTCCCAGAGATGGGTTGCGGCTGGAAGGGCATCCGCTGTGCAAAACATATGTTGGACAAGTTGGCGGTTCATCCCGCTGTGGCGTCCCCTAATTAATAAAGGGAGTACGCCGAAAAGAAAATGTATGAAGTGAATGACATCCATAGTAGGAACAAAATAAGTACTATGCAAGTCAATAGCTGTTTATTTATTCCATAATGTGTTCAACAGAAGAACAAATCGACTAAATGATAACAGAATGTTCGTTATTGGGTGAACTGTCCCTTTAAGAACTATATGGTGAGACTAAGAAATGAGCTCTTTGTTCACACAAGACATTACAATTACTTCTAATATAGCCTATGAAGAGAATTGAAGATGTTATGATGCTTTTGTGAATTCCTGCGTTGCCTTTCTGTCATTATAAGGACAAAATTCTGCAACTGACTTGCATGAAATAATAAAAGGATAATCCAGATACAAGTAAAGCAGCATTAGAGCTTAGCAAATGATGATTAGAGTTAGGAAAAGGTTTGAAATGTTCACTGAATCTTCATTTTTGTGATTGAGTTATGATTGTAAAGTCTTTTTAAATCTCTCTTTGGCTTTTGTGAATGACTTCTACATTTGTATATATACACAATGTGTTCCTATTGAAATGTCCTAATAAATAAAACAAGCTTCTACTTTTAAAGAAACATCCAGCTTGGTTGAAATGAAACCGCATGCGCTGATGATTCGAGTGAAATTCGCATCACATCCGCCGATGTTCCTGTTTCCAGCGCCCGGAGGATTCAGTTTCACGTCCTCCATATTAAAAGCCGCGAGCTGCAGCACACACACTTGATGGATCTTCCGGCAGCGTGTGCTGTTTAATAGCTCAATTCATTTGCACAGAGTGGAAAATTGTTCTTCTCCAGGTGATTTTGTTTTTGTGCGTCTTATTTGATGCCACCTGTTCTGCAGCGCAGACGTTCAGCGTTTACAATAGACAAGCGCTGCTGCGGATGAGTCCCGCTTCGCTCATTAGAGTGCAAAGGCACAGAATCCTGCAGGGAGATGCAGATGATCATTTAGAGTTTGCTCTCGTTCATCAGCTGCGATTAAACACAAATGCTGAACAGAATGAGAAAGATGAGTGTAGCACACTGTAAAAGATACCTGGTTATCAACAGCTTCTGTGATTCACAAGGGTTTATTTGCATTATGGGATGTTGATCTCTGCTGTGTCCACTTCTGATGATGACAATTCAACTCTACAGTTTAACAACGTGACTTTTTTACTGACATTTTAGTCATAATATAATGTATAACAGTTAATATCTGGAGAAAAAAGTCTGTAAAATAACAGAAAATGTGCTGCAGGTTATTATACGGTTTCAACACCAACACAGACTATATAGCACTGCACACTATTACACACGACTATAAAGTCACTCTTCAAAATATTTTAAGGTTAAAGGTTGTTGGTAGAAAGATCGAGATCTTATAAAGCAATTCAAAAGTAGAAATACATTTTTTTCTGACTTACTTTTAAGTTAACAAACAGTCAAATAACACAGAAGTACTGGGATAACAGCTTGTAGTTAGATGATGTTTATGGTGAAGATTAAAATCACTGTCATATGCATTTAACTTGATGCAAACATCAAAAATAGACCACTTAATAATCGAAAAATGATCATCTAGCAATGAAACATGAAGTTTTATGAGTGAATAACTGAAAATGAGACTAAAAATAAATATGGGTTGTACAAATTATGATGTTAGATTTCTACATTTAATGTTATCAGCAACAGTAGTAACAGTGAATTTTTCACTTCACTGAATATTTTACTATTTATTTTTATTCCGCTGATCATTTCTTCATTTTATTTTTATTAAAATGACAGGTTCTAAGTTCTGTTTGTTACAACCAAAAATGTCTTGCAGTGCTGTTTGTGTAATAAACGGAAAGCAAATTACATATTTCTCCCCTTTTTGGCTGATTCAAAAAATGGTCTGATCCGTTCTACCATTAGTATAATGTGTGTATGGTTGTGGAATTCAAGAGCTCACACTCAGCTGTTGTTTGGCATGCTGTCCCAGGAGAGAGCCCTGAGCATATAAGATCCTCAAGCCTGGGGCTCCCTCCCGTTTGCAAGGCGAGAGTGGAAATTGAGCTCAGGTAGCTCTGGAGGACTCCCCTGCTGTAGTAGCTAATGAGCAGATAGTGATTGCGACAAAACGAGATATTTGATTCGAGGAGCTGCTCTAAGCGTGTATTTTTCATGCAATGTTTGATACCGCACGGCGAATGAGAGAAAAAAACCTCCGCATTTCCCGGAAACTTAGATGCACACGGCAGGTAGCGTCAGAAAGCCTCGTGTGTTATTCCGGTCACTAAATGCGGTGGAAATCCTACACGAGGTTAAAGTTTGGTTGTGGTGCTAACATGTTTACACTCGGTGCAATAGTTAACTTAATTCGATACGAACAAACTGAATAAACAAAGAGCACTGGTCGCTCACTTACCAAATCTGTAGAGACAGGACAATCACCAGCAACTAGAGCCGCGTCTTTATTAAGAGGAGACTACAAGCGAATCCAGATCTCAGCGTTTGCAGATGAGAACAGCTCTCAGGTAAACAATAATCCTCCTTACACACGTAAGTTATTGTTGTGGAGCGTCGCGTACACTGTTAATCCACACGTGACTCCAGCTGCGCTCTCACAGAGAGAAAATGAAAACAAAACTGAACTGCAGCAAACTATAAAAGCAACACTTCACGCTTGTTTTGCCAACACAACGTGGCGTCTCTGTCGTCTAAACACTGTGACAGTAATGAATATTAATGAAGTTGCACAATAGAGCGCGCTGATTGGTTTGAACCAAGCCTTACTCATGCATTAATGCAGCACACTGTAAGACGTAATAAGACTCACTCTGGCACAGACGTCCAGTCTGCACGCTGGAATACACGCTATTATCTCATGACCGTGACGCAGCTTCAAAAATTCGTTTCAAACAGGAAGTACCAATTTGCTTAAAATAACGCAAAAACAACCAATTTACACTTTTTAGTGAAATATATGTGTCCTAATAGTGTTTTTAGCAGTGTGGGACACATATACCACTGTCAACAGCTCAACACATGTGTTCTGGTGTTTCGTGACCCTTTAAAAGATAACTACTGATTAGGAACATGTCTATGGTGCTGATTTGGATTAGTCAATTCACTTAAGTTGCATGTTTTTGGACGGTGGAAGGAACCTGGGGAAAACCCACGTGAGCATGGGGTAGAATGTGTAAAATACACACAGAAATGTCAGCTGGCTTGGTAAGCACTAGAACCAGTGATGTTCTTGCTGTGAGGCAACAGTGCTAACCACTGGGCCACTGTGCCACCCATCTAGGACAGGAGGAGGAGTAGGGGTGGAAGAGGGGATTCTTCAATTGAAGATGGCAGTGATATGGAACTGAGGGTATTTATAGTGTCTTAGGAATCGTCTGATTGGTGTATCATAAATTGGATAATGCGGGACCGGTTGCAAGCAACTCATACGCACGTGATCCTCTCGACATATGTTCAGAAATAAACTTAGCAAATAAAGAAAAGTGAATCACAAAATCCAAAAAACTGCTCATTTACGAATGTTTTCTTCACATTATATTAACGCCATTGTGGCGGTTTCTCATTTAAACATGATCTCAGTGTGTTAAACTGACTTGAAATTGTCACTCTTTGGCTTGAACTTCATTCAGTAATTCATTTTCCTTTAGCAGTTCTTTATTTATCATTTATTTGAAGATATCATGAAATTATAAAATGCTTTAATACTTTCAAGTAATACTTGATACACTATCCGGGGTCTCCTGATACCCCATCCTCTGAATTGGCTCTATCACTGTCTCTCCACTCCTCCATCAGCTGGTGTGTGCTGAGCGCACTGTCGTCGTTGTCCTGTGGCTGCCGTCGCACCATCCAAGCGGAGCTGCACACTGGTGGTGGTGTGGAGAGACCCCCCTCATCATTGGGAAGCGCTTTGTGTGTATGGCTATGCACAATAAATGCACTATATAAATACACACATTACATTACACTTGCATATATCAGATGATACTGTGGTATACAACATTTACTATAATTTATTTAGCAGGAAAACAGCTATGGATTCATGATAAAGAGATTAATAAACTAAGTTAGGCAGCAGACCTGATCAGATTTTAGTTGAGAGTTTTTCAAGAAATTAATATTTTACTCTTTCTCCTGTATAAATGCACTGTTATTGTTTAAGATGTTCACTCTTTGGATTGAATTTCATTCATTTATTTTCCTTCGGCTTAGTCCTTTATTTATTAGGGGTCGCCACAGCGAATCAATCCAGTGTCCAATCCACTTGAATTTGTTAAGTTAACGTAATCTATCATGTGTCGGGACATCATGAAGGAATTGTGTGAATCCTGCATTGTTTACAGTGTGTTATGACTGAATAATGTAACTAAAACTGAATTAATAGAATAACAGAAATAATATTCATGCTTTATTTTAAGGATTTTTGATCATTAATTAAAAGTGAACGAAGTATTCAATGTTAAAAAAATGAAACAGAAAGCACTTTATGGCACAAATTAATCTTATGATATCATCAGAATACAATTTAAAGTATTAAATAAATAAAATAGTGAAGTTTTAAAGGTAAGGAAGCATTTTACAGCACAAAATAATGTCATCAAAATACACTAAATCAGGCTCCAGTTCTTTTATCAAATATAAAACCAGACGTCATTTGATTTGGAGTGTAACATGAGGAGAGATTGTTATATTATTTAAAGCATGTCTGGAGGAAACTGCTGAACGTGGAGGAGGAGATGAGATTCTACAGGACAGTCCGGTCTAATGTAAACAATCCTTAATCAAGTTCACTGTCAAAGCAAATCTCACACACACACACACACACACACACACACACACTTCTGCTGATTCCTGCTGCGCAAACACATCTGACCAACACAAAACCTGTTCACAAACTGCCTTACTGTCATAATCTGATAGCGGTCAAGTCCAGAGCTCATCTGTGCTGACTGGATAGTAAAATCTGTAGAGAACAGTTGGAAAATCTGTTTAGTAAAGCAGACACTCAGTGCATCACTTAGCGGGTTTCCACAAAGGTTTCATTTATATACACTATGAACAGCAGCTACGCTAATTATTCTCTTTATTCTCCATTTCCACCTGGGGATACTCATCCCGAGGCCATCAGACTATGCAGAGTCACTGATTCGATCCAAGACCAGCAACGAGATGATCCCAAGGTTTCCATAATCCTGGACCAGGCCGTATCCTGAGCAGCTGCTGTGGTGGTCATAGAGGAGTGGAGAGCATGATTCCTGTGACACTCCATGGACAGACGAGTCCCTGAAGCATGAAAAAATATTTGAGGAAAAACATATTATTAGCAAATATTGTCAGATTATTATCATTATATAATTTATTTATATACTCTGTTAAAATAGTTGGGTTAAAAATACCCCAACATATAACTGAACTATAGGTTATTATAGCAACCTCCCAACTATGGGTTATTTTAACCCAATGCATTGGGTTATTTTTATTTATCTTTTCCATTCTGCTATCACTATTGCTACTAGTACTACTATTTATTTTATAATTGTGACTGTGTAAATAAACAACATGCAGTTTTCAAAACTATTGAAAATGCATTATTTTTATTACATTTTAAATTCCAGATACCTTTGTTAAAATAATCAGGAATCGCAAACAATGAAGAAACAGAAAGAAATACAGACCGTTATAAACTGTGCAAGCAGAAAATCACGTGCAGAATATGGAGCTGTGTGTGCTGTAGACTGTCCTGCAGCTGCAGCAGGTTTCACTCAGTGTCCACAATCTACAATCACCACATCCAAACACTTCTAAGAGATGGTCTTGGATTGTACCGATATAAAAAAACAGGACACAGAGAGGTAATTTAATAAAAAATAACTACAATATTATTGTTTTATAGCTTAAATAAACGTTATAACTCAAAAGCAACATCAGGCATGTGTATTACAGCTGTTCTGTGTCATTTAAATCAGTTGACTGTTAAAATTCCAAATTTTAACCCAACTGGTTGAGTTATTAAATAAATAGGCAAGGCAAGTTCATTTACATAGCACATTTCATACATAGTGGCAATTCAAAGTGCTTTACATAAACAGGAATAAAAGAGACAAGTATAAGAAAATAAAAACAAATAATAAAAAAGCATAAAAAATAAAAATAACCTAAAAAAGGTTCAAAAATGAACCAATAAAGCACCAAATATGTTTAACTCAATCATTGGGGTAAATAAATAACTCAACGTTTTTTAGATTGATAACTATTAGTTATATTTTTTGTCTAGCTATGTGTTTATTATTCATTTTAATCAATGTTTTGCATTTTATCTGAATAGCAAACACACTGATGTTGCTTGTATTAGATTAATGTTTAAAAATAAAGAATAAAATCAACAAATAAAATGTCATTGTGTATTAAATCAACCCATACAGAACGACAAAAACATTTAAAACTAAATCTATAAGTCTTGAATGTAAATGTTTCAGTTTGCTCTTCTAAATGAAATGATTCACACCACTGACATTAAAAACTACAAATGTGACCGTCTGCAATTGTCCAAACGCGCCTGCCTCTTATTATAAGGTAAGGCGGGGCTCTACATGTGACTGACAGCTGACTCAGCCAATGAAAGACAAGATGTCAGCTCGACTGCCAATAGGAAACCCGAAGAGGCGGGACTTACTTCGCTTTATCCGCACTCTCTCGCCAAGCGAAAGCAGAGAATCCCAAAAATGACATCCAGCTTATTTCCAGAAGAAAAGCGCGGCGTGTAGACACTGCTGAAGTTCCTCTCTCCACATACCCGCGGATTACCTGATCATTAGTCTAGCTAGTGCAGTGTTGAGTCCTCGGGAATGAGTATCTGCTTCTGAAGGACAGTTTTTTCCTCACAACGGATCTTTATTCAGGCGCGTCTCGGAGATCCAGAAGCCCCTCAGCAGATCCTGACAGAACGCCGACATGTGTGATTTACTGCCCGCAGCTCAACCGGTGCAGAAGATCGGTAAAATGAAGAAACTACGGAGAACTCTGTCCGAGAGCTTCAGTCGCATCGGTGAGTCCAAAACACGCCGTTATTGTTGACCGGCTCGTCACTACTAACGGAAAGTTTGCAATTTGTCTGAATGACCGTTGCTTAGCGTACATCAGTACAGTATGGCAAGCCGAAGTAGCGTTAAAAGTCCAGCGTTACTTTTCATAATTACATTTTTGGCTGGTAAGGAAACCTAAACAAATTTAAAATAAAATTTTTAAATTTATTAATTAAATTTGTAAATAAATCACATAGTTTTACTTTTCATAGTTATTTTTTTGCTAGTGAGACAACATTTAATAAATATATATTTTGTAAGTTAAACCCCCAGCGCTAGTTTTCATAGTTAAATTTGTTTGCTAGTAAGACAAAGTTTTTTAAAATTTATTACGTAAATCAAACACATTGGCTGCATTTGAAACTGTCCACTTCTCAGTAGGTAATGCATTTGTATTTAAATGTATTAACGTAGACCAACCATGTTCCGTACACTTTTCGCTTTTCAGCGCACTCAAACGATCACTCCTCCGCCATTGAAAGCCAGATAAGCATGTTTGTGTGATCATTTTCTGGGGGAATACCTGTTGCACAAACCAAATCTTGATTGATGCCTTTTGGACCAGTAGTTTTTGAGAAAAGATAGAAAAAGTACAGCCTTTGCTTGTGTATAGAAGATGATATTATTAACAATATTAACGGTGTTCCGTACACGACTAAAATAGTGTTCCGTACAGAGCGCATAACTTCACAGACAAAAATGGTCATTGTTTTAAAAACTTATGTCATAATATACTATTATTGTGTTTAACTTGAAGTTAATGATAACTCTTTTATGAAATGAAATAGCTTCACAATCATTTAATTTTTTAAAATCATGTTTATTTTATTACAGCATGACAAGTTTAAATAATAAAACGTTAAATTCATGCACATTAACGCTAACTTGACTGACCTTTTATGAATATAAACATCGTCACTGCACAAAGATGATCCAAACAGCGTTTGCAGCCCGTCTCTCAGGCTCTCTCTGGCGGAGAGCTGCGACATGCGGTCATCACCCATAACTGACGTTTAAATATCCCCATTTTAAAGTATTGATTAAACAAAAGATTATTTATTTAACATTTTGTAAATGTTGGTAAATCTAGAATTTAAATATTTTTAAAATATTAATAAATGTATAATGAGCAAAATTCAAAGTGTTTCGCAAACAAAAGTTGCAAAATGTGCAGGTATTTTATTGCAAAACAAAAGATGGCTGACCTGCCAAACTGACGGCCAACTGTACAAAACATCACTTCATTTTTTTAGTCGTGTTGTACCCTCATAAATGTCTGCTTCCAAGACATAAGAAACAAATGTTTTCCTTTAGCATCATCACTTGATGTTGCCGCCATGTTGCTGTCTCTTTGCTGGTTGTTACGAAAAAATAACATGCTCACAACGTCCAATCAGATAAGAGGAACCGAGAAGGTAGCATTTGAAGGCTTAAAAACACAAACAGTTTCTCCATTCTGACTGTTTTTGCACGCAATTGACAAATAGTCAAAGGCAAATAAAATTTTAGTGACAGGGCATCAGTGGCCCGATCGGGCCAGTAACGATCCTGTCGGCTGTCCCGAGCATCTCACACGCTGGCCCCAGGGCAGTCCTTATTGTTGAGCCCTGTGATCGTTAGGGTTAGGAAAGTAAGTAAGAAATTAATTAAAGAGCTGGACAATTTTACTCGTAAAAATGTAATCAGAGCTCTCTATTTTTATTTTTGCTATTAAGAGTTGAATTTAAGAGCTCTCTAATTGCAATTGTTAGTAAGAAATTAATTAGAGGGCTCTCGAACGGCATTTCCAACTAGTACAAATTCAAAGGTTGAGCTCTGTTATTAAAAACGAATGTAATATCAATGGAGACATTAGTATAAAAATTAAATTATAGAGTAATTGTGAGAATTTAATGATAGTTCTCTCTAAACAATTATTACTAGCAAAAACTGCATTAGAGCACTCTAATTAAATTCTTTCTGGTAAAATGTGATTATGACTAGTAAAGCTGTGAGCGTTTTAAGCTAGTGTGGCTTGCCACACAGTTCAATGAGTGAAAGCCCTGTGGAGTGCAGATGTTTTATGATTAATCCTGAAGCTCCTCAAGATGAGAGAATGTAGAATATTGAACAGGAGATGGTCGTTCTTGTGTGATAATGGAGAGATTTGGACTTTAATCTGCAGATTCAGCACTATCTGATTGTTTGTGATTGTGATCAATGAGTGTGATTGATCGCTTTTGGCTCAAAAAGACGCTTTTCTGGGCGTTCCTGCCTTTTTTTTCATTGTCAGGCTTTGAAATCTGATAAACTTGCAGAGGGTAATAATGCAAATTTATAATCGCATTTATTGGTACAACTGTTTATATTGAGCAAAAATGATTAGCTGCACAGTAAAATCCACAATGGAAGATAATGCAGTATCAAATGTTAGCAACTCCCAATGAATGTTAAATGAACAACATGCAGTGTTAACGACTACACATTAACAGTGTGCTTGAAAGGTGCAATATTACGGGATTTTACTTTTACACTACAAGTTTGGCAGAAACAAAATCTACTGTTTATTTATTTATTTATTTTCGACTGCGTGTCTGAGAAGGACAGTTCAATGTAATTCTGTGTTATTCTTGTGTTAAGCCGCCTTTCCACTGCACATTACAAAAGACAAGCGACAGACCGGAAGTCATTTATTTCCAATGGAGAGTAGTCTAGGAGCTGCGTGGAGTTATGATCATCTCTGTATGCAGAAAATTCAGATCTGATTTGTGCTGCAGATCTGTTCAAATATTTGAACACAGTGGTGCAGTGGGTAGCGCTGTCGCCTCATAGCAAAAAGGTTGCTGGTTCGATTTCTGGTTGGGTCAGTTGGTGTTTCTGTGTGGAGTTTGCATGTTCTCCCCGTGTTGCCGTAGGTTTCCTCCAGGTGCTCCGGCCAACCCCCCGGTCCAAACACATGCGCTATAGGGGAATTGGGTAAGCTGAATTGTCTATAGTGTATGTATATGAGTGTGAATGGAGGTTTCCCAGTGATGACTTGCGGCTGGAAAGGCATCCGCTGCGAAAACTTGATGGATAAGTTGGCGGTTCATTCCGCTGTGGCAACCCCAGACTAATAAAGGGACTAATCCGAAAAGAAAATGAATGAATGAATGAATGAACTCCTAGACCGTATGTGACCGGCCAACCCAGTGTGATTTATTTCAGTGTTGTCCCAGCAGGTCTGTGCAAATGAGATGAGAAATAGGAGTTTTTTGTAATTTTTAAAATCAGAAATAAGTCTTTATTTAAAAAAAAAAAAAATATATATATATATATATATATATTCATAAATTAATAATAAAAATATTCTTACTTTAAATCTCGTCTCCACATTCCCTCCAAAAGTTTTAGCAGTCTATGATGAGTTTCTAGTATTCATTCATTCATTCATTCATTCATTCATTCAACTATGGTGAACACACAGAGAATAAAGACTCTTGCTTTTGCTCTCCTTTATTTCGGACACCGCGAGAATCAGCTTCTCATGGTGCACGACAAAACTGAATGTCCTGTGCGACTGCCACAAGTCATGTCTGAATGTTTTGCAGTGGAAAGGCGGCTTTAGGACTATAATTATAAAAATAAAATTAAAGTATATTATGATGAATATGTATAGAAATGGGTGACACGGTGGATCAGCGGTTAGCACTGTGGCCTCACAGCAACTTCAAGTATCAGCTGGGCCAGTTGGCATTTCTGTGTGGAGTTTGCATGTTCTCTCCGTGTTGGCGTGCGTTTCCTCTGGGTGCTCTGGTTTCCCAAATAGTCCAAACACGTGTGTGTGTGTGTGTGTGTGTGTTGGGGTGTGTGAAATGCACATATAGAGAGTAGGAAGCGCAGTACTTCAGCACACCTCGACTCTCTTTCACTTCTGTGTTGTTGAGGGCAGGTTTGATCATCTGACAGCAGGTGTTTCAGAGTTTCACACTTTCACATTTAGTGTCTTCATATTTGTGACATGGTGTGATCTATGTTAATAAGTACAGCTCAGAATAAGTGCTTCAGTTTGACATAAACATGTATCACTGCAGGACATTATTTCACTCAGATTTGAATGTTTTTAGTTAACAGAAGCTTTAGTCACCTCTGAATAATTGAACTTTCACATGAACTGAAACTAATCACTTTAAAGAATACAGATAATACACATACAGTTAATGATTATATTAGCCTTTATTATGATTCACATTTTTAACATAATACACTGTAGTCAGCATTTAAAGTTCCATGCATGCTTATTTCTGCTTTTGAGTTGCTTTGTAGAATCTTGCTCTTTCCTCCAACAACTTTAACATTATAGTCATGTGTATAGTCTGCAGTGCTATATTGTTTGTGTTGGTGTTGTATATTACGCTACAAACATTCAGTCATTCATTCATTTTCTTGTCAACTTAGTCCCTTTATTAATCCGGGGTCGCCACAGCGGAATGAACCGCCAACTTATCCAGCAAGTTTTTAAGCAGCGGATGCCCTTCCAGCCGCAACCCATCTCTGGGAAATACGCTACAAACACCTTGTAATAAACTGCAGCGCATTTTCTGTTATTCTACAGACTTATTTCTCTAGATATTATTTCTCATACATTATATTATTGCTAAAATGTTAACAAAAGTCAGTTTGCTAAACTGTAGAGTTGAATTTTCATCATCAGAAGTGGACAGAGCAGAGATCAACATCCCATAATGCAGTTCACCACCACAAATAAACACTTGTGAATCACGAAATATGGAAGTAACAGATATTTTTTACAGTGTTCTGCATGCTGTTTGCATTATGCACAGCGAAGACGAGGCCATTATTCACTGCTGCAAGAAAATATATCTTCATGTTTGATTCTGAACGCTGGCTATAAATCAGTTCATTCCAATAAAAAATTCAATCCTAAACTTGATGCTATTTATATGCATGCATTAGAGTATCTCAGCATATTACAGTATGCATG